GATTATGTGAGCAGGTATACTTACAGCTTTAGATGCTTCTTCTGGAGTTGAAAACGAAACAAACCCTGATCCTTTACTTATACCGTTAGGGTCGCACATAACCTGTTACATTTAATAATAGGATCAGCCAACCGAGTATCGAATCCACTGATCTCGACTATTCTGAAAACAAGCTAACTAACCTTGCATGATGTTATGTTACCATATTGAGAGAACAGCTCTTTAAGTTTCTCGTCACTTATGCTATCATCCAAATTCTTAACATATAAGTTTGCTCCTTGAAATTTATCCGCTGCCTCTTTCATTGTCTGCTCAAATCGCTGTCTCAGTTCAGCCTCCCTTTCAGATTTTTTTTGAGCTTTCCCTACAAACCATTCCTTATCATCAAATTTCTTTCCATTTAGGGAATCAACAGCTCTGGCGGCGTCATCTGCATTCTCAAAGTTGATAAACCCGAAGCCCTTGGATTTCCCATCTGCATCTCTCATCACCACGGCACTAGTGATTGGACCAAATTCACCAAAAATCTTATTCAAGTCTTCATCAGTAGTCGACTCCGAGAGATTCTTTACATAGACATTGTTAAATTTTGTCTTGTTAGTAGAAGTGTCTCGCTCTTGCTTGCGAACAAAAGGACCAACATAGACTTGCTTATCATTCAACAGCATACCATTCAATTGATCTATTGCTTTTTGGGCAGATTCCTCATTGTCAAATTGTACAAACCCATAACCTTTCGACTGACCAGAGGGATCCGTGGCTAACTTGCAAGAGAGAATGTTTCCGAATGCAGAAAATGTATCATGCAAAGCTTTTTGGTCGATTCCCTTATCTAAATTCTGCAGATTCACCAAAAACAAACACAAAATAAACAAAGTGAGATAAACGGAGCACGGATTTTCGAAACAAAGCAGCAAAAGAAACCCTACGACAGTTCATTTTATTACCTTGATAAATATATTCCCTGCACCACTTTTACGAAGACTAGGGTCGCGGTTGGAATACATAATCCGGATAGGCTTCCCATTCAGAGGAGTGAAGTTCAGAAGCTCCAATGCCCTTGCAGCTGTAGGTAAACAAAAGAGGATACCATCCAGAATAATTAAACAACTTTTTGTGAAATCAATACAGTAGCAAAATACACTAAATATTTCTTTGAACCAGCCATACACACACATATATATATCAGCTTTACAGTATTATACTATTGTATCAGCCATTTCCAATTGAATCAAAACTAATAACTTTTTTCTTTCCTTTCATAATTCATTAAAACTATATGCAATTCATAAAAAATGTTTAAAATGCTAATAAAATCAATCATCCATTAATCAGCAAAGAAAATAAAAACATCAAATCTACAGTGAACAAAATCATTTGGAAAAAAACGAAATACAAAACTAAAACTGAGAAACTGAACATTTTACCATCTTGGGGGTTGCCATAGTTGACATAACCATAACCAAGAGACCTTCGGGTCGGCAAATCCGTGCACAAGCGAACCGTAAGCAGCTGACCGACCTGGTTAAAGTACTCATAAAGCTGAGTCTCCGTAACACTGGGATCTAAATCCCCAACATACAGAGACGTTACAAACTGGTTATTGGCTCCCCCAGATCCATTGTTAACGCTCCCACTTTGCCCCTGAACTTGAACATGCGCCATCTCTCTAAACCTCTAAAGCCAACAGCTAAAAAACCCTTTTTTCTTCAATTTTTTCTACTTTTTTAGGGTTTTCTTCTTTCTTCCCTCCCCTCTTTGTTATTATTCAAACAAAACACGAAGAGCAATTAATATAATAATAAATGATAGTGAGCTAAAAATCTCAACCTTTCCTAAAGACACAAACTTTCCTTTTTGTACTTTTTTCTTACTTTCAAAAGGGGAGGATAGTGAAGGGAAAGAGAAGGAAACGGATATTTCCCCGCCGGCAGAAGAGTGGGGGTGGCGCGTGAGAAGATGAGTTTTGAAGAAGGGAAAGGAGTAGCTGCGAATGCAACACAGAACCGAATTGAACATACAAAAAGTTGTAATATAAGTTCGGAGGTTTCTTTCGGTAGTAAACCCTAAGTTGGGATCCCAAAACGATATCTCAGGCGTTGGATTCCTTACTATTAGTTTTTTACGGGCCCCACAATTGACGTGGCACGTTTTCATAGTATCATATCGTCAAAATGATGAGAAAAATTAAGCTGATGGATTAAATGAGGGATGAAAATGTGAACTTAATCCTTTTACCGCGAAACAATTATAGAGCATATAAGATTATTTTTCTTATAATAAATCGCACTTTTAGGGATGGGCATGAGATCGAATCCGACGAAAGTTTCGACTCGACCCAATTCAATCAAGTTGTTTTTTTAAATCGGGTTTAGATTAGGACGTTTTTTCAAAGGTGGTGTTCAAGTTAGGTCGGATCTGGATTTAGGGTGAAAAATTCTCTGTCCGACCTAAAAAATATAATTTTACTTGCATATTTAGGAATAATTATAATAATATCTCTTTATATATTTTTTCCAATTAAATCACTATTTTTATTAAATAAAAATAATATTATTATATTATTTCAGATCGGATTCGAATTTTATCTAAAAAAGTTGTGTTGAATTCACGTCGGGTGTAGGGTACATATTTTTCAGATGGGGTCGGATAAGGTGAATGATATAAAATATTCAGGTCGGGTTGGCCGAAACCTGACCCATGCCCAACCCTACGCACATTCATTATTTAAAAATAGCATAGATAATAATAACGTTAGAAATACATCTTATAATAAATCACATTTTACTACATTATTCTTGTGATGGATTTGTTTTAACAAACAATCAATTAAAATATTAAAATGAAACATTAAATTTTTAAATAATGTTTATAATTTAAATTATAACGTTTTGAATAAAATAAATTAATGTTAAAGGATTTTGTCCATAATAATTTTTTTTATAATCAAACCAAATTAATTGGGTAACAAATTAAATTTTGATCGTTATTAAAAAAAATAGAACACGTTAATATAAAAGTTTATATCACTTAATACTTTCAAAATTGCATTTAAGACATTAGTAAATACAAATAGTATATTGGGAGATACAAAAAAAACATAATTGCATGTAAGATTATTACTAATACATATTTTATATTTTTTCTAATAATGATATGACATTAGCTTATGGTGACACGTGAGCATCACTGTTAAGTTTTTAACAGTGAGGTACCAAAATGAAATCTAAACTAAACGTTCTGTATAGTTATAAAAAAAAGTTAGGTACCAAAATGAAACGAAAGTAATACTTTAAATACTAAACATATAATTTACCCTAAATTATAATATCAAACGAGATAAGAAAATCAACGATATTTTTTTAAATATATTTTGAATAATTCGAACGAATACTACACCAAAATATAAATTAAACGGTGTAATTTAATTTATGAAATGCTGTTGAATAATTCATATTTTAAGTAAATGGGAAAAAGAAAGTTAACAACTTGTTTGAACAATTAATAAAAGATGTGATGAGTCACAATTTTCTTGCAAGGAGGGAAGAGGAGTCCCGACAAATGCTTAATTGGCGCGTGATTGTGTGGACAAAAACAAAATCGGCTCACAAGTATGGGGACTTTGAGGTAAAATCAAGAAGGTCTAATTTTACTCTCAATCCCTATAATCTTTGCACATTTAAAATTTAATCTCTATATTATTAGTTACAATAATTTAATTATCCACTCTTTCGATTTAATAATTAAAATTCAATCAATAGCACTATGATGGAAATTTTGTTGAATTTGATTATTTATTTTAACGATAACCTAATTTATTTAAAATCTTTTGATAGTATTATTAAACATATTTCAATTATAATATTAGAATAGTAGAAAAATCAGTTATGCGATTTTTTGTTTGATGTTGAATTTTTAGTTTGAACTCGAACAAATTCTAACTATAGAGAGGGAGAGGGTGGGATGCATTTGTACAATGTTGAGCATTTTAGTTTTACACGTTTTAGGATCGTTGTAAAAATAAAAATAAACTGTTGATATTTCCCCCCAAAAAAAACTCGGGATCACGTTTTATAAACGAAAGATCGATGTTTTCAACCTCAACAATCAGAGACATGGGAGGAGTGGGTGTGTGTGCATGCACGTACGTGCGTGTATGTGTAGATTTTTTTAAAGATTAAAATTCATGAACTCGCATGATGAATATATATTTAAAATAAAACCATAAATATTTATTGAATTAAAAAACATTTTTTAAAAAATTGTCTTCAACTTAAATTAAACACTTTATAATTTTATTGAAGTTATCAACTCAAAGAAGACGAACAGTTCAAAGAAGGTGAACAAAAAATACATAATTTTTTTGTATGTTGAAATAAAAAATGACAAAAGAAAATTGATATTAATTGTCTTTAATAAATAATATTTAATTAGTTTTCAAATTCGAAAGTAATATAACTTTGTTTTTTTAGGTAACCATTTTTTATTAAGTATAGATATATTATATTTATAATGCAAATATCAAGCTCACATAAAGCGAAACAATATAAGTATCATCGACTATCAAATTTAATAATTTATTATACGCGTCTCTTAAGGAGGTCAAGTTTAATATATATATATATATATAATAGATATAGACGGTTGAGATTAATAGTAGGAATAAGAAGATAATTTCAATTGTCTATTTTCATCCATCTAACTATCCTAGAAATGTGTAAACTTATACTTTTTTTTATATAAGTATAAAGAGTACAAGTATTAAATTATTGAAAATAAAACCTGATAAATTAATTTGTAAATATATAAAAAGTACAGGGACTCAGAATAAATTAAACATAAAAAGAACAACAAAGTCCCACACTGTACCGACCAATTAAGCTTCTCTCTCTCTCTCTTTCCTCAAGTCTCCTGTTTGAGTGGAACAAGTAACAACTGCTCACACCCTTTTTATTTCCATCATTATTCTTATTCTTTCAATCTCCACTTCTCGGTTTCAGCCTATTTTATCAATATCCAAAGTTCTTTTTCCTTGTTTCCGTATCTAAATTCATCAAATTGTTTCTTGTTTTGCTTTGGGAAAGAAGGTTGATTTTTTTAATGAACATGGCTTCGATTTCTTTAGTTAATAGTCAAACCCTGAAACCATTCCCTTCTCTCAACTCTTTTCTCCATTACAAGCAACCCTGCATCGTCTCCTTGTACCATCATCCGGATAAGTTACCACCTTCGTTGTCTCTCCCCAAACCCAAAGAAGGCTCTTTTCCATCGGCTGCTGGACTCATGGCCAACTCAGTCCCCGTAACCCTCTATTGACCTCTTTTTGGGATCTTCCTTTTTATATCTATTTAAAAGATTGTTTCTTTTACATGTTTCTGTTATTTTTTTAGTCAAGAAATGGAAATTATACAGTGGGTGATTTCATGACCAGGAAAGAGGATTTACATGTTGTCAAAGCTACAACAAGCGTGGATGAAGGTATCAATGATCCTTGATAACTTTACTTATTCACCGTATTTGTATTATGAGTCCTAATTTTGTTGTGAATTTCTGTAATTGCAGCATTGGAGTCACTTGTGGAGAGGAGAGTCACTGGTTTCCCAGTGATTGATGATGATTGGAATTTGGTAAATTTTAAAGTATTTTTACTATTTTCATATTTTGTAGCTTGGGGTTTCTTTCTTTGTGTTCCTTTTAAACTGAGAATCATGTATGTTTATAGGATATGGAATTTTGATATCTTGTTTGTTGTTGCCTTGTTGGTATATGATTATGAATGCACAGAGTTGTGTTTGGATACGCATAGTTCTTAATGATCATGTTTTCGTTCGATTGAGATTTTTTTTTCATGGAGAGAATATGGTCTTGGAGTAGATTATTGGTCTGGGATTGGGAATTCTGAGCTACAGCGGTACGGCCGTCATCCTTAAACTAGTACTGACCGACTTCTATATTGCAGGTCGGCGTTGTTTCCGATTATGATTTGCTGGCACTGGACTCTGTTTCAGGTAGTTGTTTTTGATGCTTGGTAATGAGTTAAACTTCTATACAAGGTTTTGCTTAGAGTAGCGTTTCTATCATGCATATTTATCGAGTGTTTATATATCTGAGCACGTCGGGAATGTAATAAGGGGTGAATGCTACACCTACTTCGGAGTTTTTCCACCTCGGTTTCTCTTGTAATTGTGCGTCCCCAAATGGTCACTGATTCGTTCCGTTTTTTATCCATCAGGTAGCAGTCAAAATGACACGACCCTGTTTCCTAATGTTGATAGTTCTTGGAAAGTACGTAAGCAATCTGCTTTTGAATCTTCGGTTTTGCTTGAAATTTGTTTATAATTTGTAGTACCATTGTACCAAATTCCAATGCTAAGTTCCTTCACGTTCTAGATATTTCAATGTTGCCGCTCCGACCCTGATAATTTTTATCGACTTAACAACATATGCATGCCTTCCTCCGAACATTTTTTTTCCGATTTATCTCTATTTTCGTATATGGATACCTGGTTTCAGGCAAAATAGATCTCAACTATGAATTTTTGTGGCGTTACAACTGTTGCTTTCTTTTTCTAATTCTGGGTTGCCATGGCAGACATTCAATGAAATACAGAAATTGATGAACAAAAACAACGGAAAAGTGGTTGGGGACTTGATGACACCTTCACCGCTTGTTGTTCGTGAAACAACAAACCTAGAAGACGCTGCTAGGTATTCGTTTTCCAGCTTTTTGTAACGCATCGAATGCGTTTATCGTGTTAGGTAGATGTCCTTACTCCGACGTTTTTCGTATCAGGTTGTTGCTCGAGACCAAGTATCGTCGACTACCGGTGGTAGATGGTGATGGCAAGCTAGTAAGAAGTTCTCTGCGGACCGTTATGTTCTTTGTATCTTTCCGTACACACACACTCGCGTGCACACTCACCGTTATATGCTTCTTGAATTCATATTAGCCAGGGATGATTTCTAATTGATTTCTATTTGCACCTCAAAGGTTGGAATCATTACAAGGGGAAACGTTGTCAGAGCTGCCCTGCAGATTAAACGTTCGAGTGAAAGGTGATGCCGAGATCCGGAGCAGAGATCGTGATAGTGTTCTTGATCTCCTTTTAAGTCGGTCGCCGTTGCCGTGTCCGACTTCCACGTCGAATTGAGGAATTTAATCCCTGTCTGGTGATACAGGGCAAACGTAGCTTAGCTAGAATCATTAATGCATTTAAAGTAAACAAAATACGTATGTTTTTTGTATCTACTTCGTTGATATTTACTGTCCTTTCTATTCGTCTGTTTAAGAAGTTATATATATATATATATGTACACTGTCCTTTTAAACTGTCTGATAAAAATTTTGGGGTAAACTACTCCCAAATGTCACTGAGTTTTGGTGTTTATATAGATCTTACCATCTAAATTTTAAAAAGTTTCAATTTTAACACTGAAATTTGATTTTTTGACTTCAATGTAACCACAAATTATTAAATTGTTAACATTCAGATGATGTGGCAGTTTGATGTTGATGTGAAAGTCAATGAAGTTAATTTTAAATTTTACTCGACCGTTTTCTTTATCAAAGTTGAAAGTTTTTTCACATATTTTTAGTTATCTTAAAAAATTACTCTTCTAAGACGTTTTTTTTTATTGTAATTCTAGATACGGATACGGATGAATTTGTCTTATTATTCTCTATTATTTTGTCGATTTAGATTTTTCAAAATCTCTCTAAAATTTAAATAATGAAAATCATTCCTTCAATAAAAGGAACAATATATCTTGAAACTAATTTGATCGGATTATCATTAGAGGAAATCAGAATAACATTGAATTTTTAGATTATTTTTCTACAATTTTAAATATATTTCATAACAAATCAATATGAGAAAAAAGAATAATGAAATATAAACATTTTGGGTAAAGCAAGGGGTCGGGTTTTACAATTACAGTACCTAGGGATGGACATGGGTTGGGCTTCTGACAAACCCAATAAAAACACACCCTCCACCCGAAACTCGACTTGAACCAAGTTTAAGGTGAATTTATCCGATCCGAACTCGGCCTGTTTTTTTTAGATGAAACCTACATCTAATAGAGTCGGATCAGGTTAGAACATGTGGGGTCCACATCCCGTGCCTATCCCTAATAGTTCCGGATTAAGTTTGGGTAAATCAAAAATGGGTAGAGATAGTTGGGCTTCTTGACTTGAGATGTGTGGGTTGCTTCTACCTATTTAAATTGGGTCGTCGTTGAACTCGACCTTATCAAATGTCATGCTTTAATAGATTAATTTGTATTATACGATTCAATCTATAAATTAAACTAAATTTAAGTGAATTGAGATTTTAGTTAAACACTTATATATTATAAATATATATTTAAAAATTATATATATTAAAAGTTAATTAAGTCATTCAACTCAATTATAAAAGAAATATATAACCTGTAATCAACTTGACATAACTTATTTTAACCGTATAACCATCATAACTGAATTGGTCAAATTAATTCAATTGAGAAGCATATGTCTTTTGTTATTTTTTCTTTACAAATAATTCGAGTCCAAAGGGCATCTTTATTTTTTAAAATACATTAATTTAATAAATATATTATTAAAAAAAATAAATAAAGTTTCACCAAAGTGTACTTTTTAAAATAAATAAATTGATTTGATCTATAATGGGGTCAAAAGAAATGGTGTAGTGTGAGATGGGTACATCTTTTTTTCAAAAAGTAATCAATGGCCACCTTTTCCCTTGATCAATACAAGCTTTTGTCAAACACAATGTGTTTTGTTATCATTAATCCCGGTGTTTAGTGCTTAATTTGATTTGTAAGTTAATCACACTTGCCAAGAAGTTGTATAAAACAGAAAATCCCACGAAACACGGTGTAAAAATATACACAAATATTTAAAGATGTTCTGTTTTAAATTAATGATTAAGACGGGAAAACGATGCCCAACTGCTAAGTGCTGTGTAGGCACAACCGCAAAACATAATTTATGAATTTTCTTATAATCACCAAACATAAATAATCATCCGATCAGACCCGACCCGAAATAATAAAAATACTATTTTTATTCAATAAAAACAATGATTTAATTGAAAAAAATAATATACAAAGGGGTATTATTGTAATTATAAAAAAATATAAGGTAAAATTATATTTTTCGGGTCGGATTGGGTATTTCACCCTAAACTCGAACCCGACTCGACCCGAACATTACCTTTAAAAAATCCAACCTAGCCCGACCCGAACTTGAATTTTTTATATTAAAAAACCCCAACCCGATCGGGTCAGAACCCGTCGGGATCGGGTCCATACCCATCCCTAATTGAGATCCCACCAATATATTTTCTACATCCATAGATTCTACTGAAACAATATTAAAACATTCTATCCTGCCCTTGGAAGTACCTTGATCGGCTTTCTAATATCCTACGTAAATTGGAAAATGCTATTAATCTCGGATAAGCATATAGTAGTATTTGTTCGATCATGTTTCTAGTTTTGATTGGGATATTTATAATAACCTTTAATGTGTATCAACGGTAAAGTTGTCATGATTATTTATAGATTTACACCCTAAATATATCTAATTGCAAATTCTTTACTTACATTCTAATGAGGTATGTGGATCTATCAAGAATTTTATTTATGTAATGCAGATGACTAAAAAACATATGTTCGAAGAATATAGTTTCGTCGAAAGCTGTAAAGTAGTCTGAAGAATTTAGTTGGTGGGATGACTGACATTTCTACAAGTTTTATCTAACGGAAATTAAATGAACTTTAAATGTAATCTCCGGATATATAAGAGTAAATACACAGTTGGTCACTAATGTTTAGGTAAGTTTTTGTTTTTACCGCTGAAGTTTTAAAAGTTACAAATTGGTCACTAACTTTATCGTTTGTTACAAATTGGTCACTCGATGTTAACAGCCGTTAACAGGTATGATGAAAAACACAGCTGGCGCTTTAACTGCCTATAGGGGTGGGAATATGCCAGGCCAGGCCAGGCTTTAATAGGCCTGGGCCTGGCCTACACTGATTTGTATTGGCCTGGGCCTGACCTGTGGCCTGTCAAAGTCTTTTATTTAGGCCTGGCCTGGGCCTGTTTAAAAGCCTGTTTAACAATAAACATTTAATATTTTTCAGTTTAGCCATTAATTTTAGAGTAAAATCCCTATTAAGTCACTCTAACTTAGTATATTTTACAAAGTAGTCACTCTAAATAGGCCGGCCTATCATGCTTATAAGGCTTTTTAATAGGCCTAAGCCTGGCCTGTTTAGTTAAATAGGCTTTTAAAAAGGCCTGGGCCTGGCCTGTTTAGTTAAATAGGCCAGGCCCAGGCCCCTGGAGGTCGGCCTGGCCTATTCCCACCCCTAACTGCCTACATTGACTTTTGACCGCAACGTTGGAGGACCATTGGAATTCATTTGACCGGTGCTTGAACTAATATGTAATTAATAATTAATTAATCAATTAAAAAGGGGATCAAGGGTTTCATTTCTCATTCTGAATCATTCTTCTTCTTCCATTGACTCATTGCTTCTTCTTCCATAAACCCATTTTTTCTTATACATAAACACATTTATTTGTCTTTCATAAACTCGTTTCTTCTTCTTCCACAATCCCATTTCTTTTTCTTCCAAAAACCCATTTTTTCTTCTTCCATTAGTTTGAGAGAAAAATCAGAGAGAAAAACGAGTAAAGAAAAACTATTGTATTTACATGGAGTTACGACAAAGGGGGGACAACGCTATGCTTTATAGTAAGCTTCTTTTGGGTTTGATGGAAATAAAATAAAAAAAATAAAACCTTAGCTGGGTATTCACAGTTGCAAAGCAAAACATCAATTGAGTCTTCCATCTTCACAAAATTTCTCTTCTTTTACAATTTTCCAAAGAAAAAAAATATGAAAGAATACATATAGGAATAAAAGCCCTAAATTAAGTTTAACGATAATATTAGTGACCGATCTGTGACTTTTGAAACATCAGTGGTAAATATGAAAACTTACTCAAAGATTGGTGACCATTTGTGTAGTTTACCCGATATATAATAATAAACATTCTACATCTTAAAGATATTAATCGATTTCATATCATCATAAAGTCATATTTGAAAAATCAAGTAGCTAACTGTTATTTGAATTGAAAACATATATCATATTTTCTAAAAGATGATAATTTTTGTGAACATCATCATTAATAAAAGGAACAAAGGCTCAAATTGGTTAAAACCCAAACCTCCGGTCTCGTTAATCATCATTATTATTTTTGAGAATGATACAAAATAAATTAATGATAATGAGGACCATAAGCAGCATAGGATAGGTAATAAATAAACTAAATAAAAAAGAGAGCAAGTTCATAAATCCAAAAGTAAAAAAAATAAAAAGTAAAGAATGTAATGTGTGTCATAAATGCAGACTTTGGCATGCTTATCTGTTCCAACATCATCCATCAATTACCTTCTCCATACCTCATGCTCCTTTACCGAGTCCACTCACACGTAAACCCTATATTGATTATAGTATTACACATTGAATCAAACAACGGATAATTTTAATTTAATTTTGTAGATATTATTATCGTAATAAAAAAATTTAAAGATTATGATGGATTAAATCATTATTATTATTATTATTGTTATTATTATTATATACACATACGAGTATAATTTATATTATATTTCAATTTATAAATAAAAAGAGATGCGAGTTATCATACTTTTTGAAATCTTATAAAAAAAATTAGCTAATCTTATTTCAATATGTAATGGGGTAAGGGGAGGTAGGATAGTAGGCTGCCCCAACGCCAGGTTGATAGCAGCTTCCGTGGGAGACCTCCGACAGTCAGAATTATGAATTACCCATCATGGGACTCGATCCCACGACCACAAGGTTAAAAGCCTTGCGCTCTACCAACTGACAATTCACTTTTTGAAATCTTATGATTTATATTAAACCGCATTCACTCAAACTACTAACATTCCATTAATCAATATATTTCATATAAATTTCTTTGTTCATTGAGGCCCTTCAAAAACCTTGCATTTCCGGAGTACATACCCTAAAGTGAATTAAAATATTTAAATATGATCTCTGATAGACACACCTGATACGATAAAATAAAATCCGATGTCTATCAGATACTTAACACACTGACCTACAAGTAGTCATGACTAACCTATAACTCTCACAAACTATAAATATCTATAAATGCTCCAATCCAAATTGAAAAGGGGATTAACCGCTCGCTATAACGACCAACTCTTTGAGTCTCTTGTTTCATGACCCAATTTATTTTTCTTCTAAACACAAGTCAACGATCGTTTTTTCACCAACAATAATTTTCCATCTAAATTATAAGGGATAGATCACTAACAACTGACAGTATCATCTTATTATCATTAACATGAATAACTTAATTGTTTAACAGTTTCTACCTAAGGGAGGGAGAAAGAGAATTTTACTTCTAATACGCATTGAACCTACAACTTAAAGGAAAGAGAATGTATTAATTGAAAGCTTTTAACCATATGCTATAAAATTGTTGACGAGTAGCTTAAATATTAAATTAAATTCATAATTCAAATATACTTAAATGTATAATAAAAATTTATTGAATAATTTAGGTAATAAAAAATTGTTATACATTATGTTAGACGTTTATTATTTATTTTAGAAATAATGATGTAAGAAAAGTTTTAAGTCACAAATCCTTCCTCCTCCGTTAATCCCGTATTAATTAGTACTTAATCCAAGGGAGAAACAAACATCATCGAAAACAACCACCGCTTTAAGTGTAATAAAACTACAGACGTGGTATCGGTCTCCGGCTCCACCACCTCGTCCTCCAATAAAAAAAATCCCCACCAATTTCTTTCATCTACTATTTTCTTGTCCCCCAGTCATTCCCTTTCACTTTCCTTCGAGATTCGTGCTCCGATTCATTTCAAAATTTCCTCCCCGATTCCTCTCCTCTTCGCTTTTAATCTCAACTTCCAAAAACCGCTATCAAAGAATTCTCTCAAAACCCAGAGACAATAAGAGAACATGAAGAACAGCAACGCTAATACAAAGCTGATTCTCCTCCACCCATCCATCCACAAACCCACCGCCACTTCGCCCCACCGTCTCTTCCTCCTCTTTTTCATCACTTTCTTCACTATTGCTTTCTCTCTGACTCTTTTCACCACCACCTCTGTTTCCACCTCCGCTACTCCTTATCTTTCCAGCCCCGCTTCTTCCTCCCTACCGACTTCCGTTACCGCCGCCCTCCTCCACTACGCTTCCACCGTCAACACTACCACCCACCACATGTCGTCTTCCGAACTCTCCCTTATTGTTTCCACTCTCCATAATTGCCCTTCCTCGCCGTGCCGTTTCCTTGTTTTCGGTCTCACCCATGAATCCCTCCTCTGGCACTCCCTCAACATCCATGGCCACACCGTTTTTCTCGACGAAAGCGAGTACTTAGTCTCGTCGTTCGAGCGCAACCACCCGGAGATCGAAGCGTACGATGTTCAGTACACTACCAAAGTGAAAAAAATGTCGGAGCTGTTATCCTTAGCGAAATCCCACATCGGAGACGAGTGCAGACCGGTGCAGAATCTCCTGTTCTCTGATTGTAAACTTGGGATCAACGACATGCCGAACCATATATACGATTTGAGCTGGGATATAATATTGATCGACGGTCCACGTGGCTACTTCCCGGATGCTCCGGGGAGGATGGCTCCGATTTTTACGGCGGGGGTGTTGGAAATAAAACACTCACACAAACAACTTTTATTGAAACTCAAACAAATATTACAAGAGTACTCTCACTCAAAAACAAGAACTACAACTCACTCTTATAAGACTTTGCTTCTTCACTCACTTAGAAGCTCTTAATTTTTCTTGATGCTTAAAACTAAAATGGGAAGGGGTATTTATACTACTCAAGAACAATCCTACACCACACAAATAAACTAATTTAAACCATTACAAATTCAACAAATATCTAACTCTCACCTAACTAAATTGATGTAAGCAATGACATCATTAATTAAATGATGTAAGCAATGACATCTTTAATTAAATGATGTAAGTAATGACATCAATTTAGTTTGGGTTTGGGTTTAGGCTCCCATAATGGATCAAGTTTATGATCCAACACCCTCCCTTAAACTTGATCTCGTGACCCCTAGTAGGTTCCTTAATCTTAAGAAGTCTTCGCTGGTCAGTGGCTTGGTAAAAATATCAGCAACTTGATCTTGTGACTTCACATATTCAACTTCCACATCTTTTCTTGCAACACACTCCCTTATATAGTGGTAGCGAATATCAATGTGCTTGCTTCGATCATGGAATACTGGATTCTTTGCTAAGGCAATGGCTGACTTGTTGTCGACACAAACCTTGGTAGGCTCTTCTTGTATCAAACCAATCTCCTTCAATAGATTTCTAAGCCAAATTGCATGACAAACACATGAGGTAGCAGCAACATATTCCGCTTCACAAGTGGATAATGTGACAATCGGTTGTTTCTTTGACATCCATGTGAATGCAATATCTCCCATGAAAAATACGAATCCAGTAGTGCTCCTTCGATTATCTATGTCTCCACCCAATCACTGTCGCTATATCCAACAAGCTTGTAATCATTAGAAACTGAATAGAACAAGCCAAAGTCAATTGTACCTTTCAGATAGCGAAGAATTCTCTTTGCGGCTTTAAAATGGGTGGTTGTTGGGGATTCCATGTAGCGACTAACCAATCCAACTGCGTGAAGAATATCGGGTCTCGTGCAAGTTAGATAGCGTAGACTTCCTACCAAACTTTTGAAGAATGTTGGATCTACACTTTCGCCTTCTTCATGTTTGGTCATCTTGATCCCGTATTCTGCCGGTGTGCTTATTGGCTTACAGTTCTCCATCTTGAACTTCTTCAGTATCTCCTTTGCATAGCTTTCCTGTGAAATGAAAATTCCATCATTTTGTTGCTTAACTTCAATGCCAAGGTAGTACGCCATGAGCCCCATGTCTGTCATCTCGAATTCTTTCATCATCACATCCTTGAATTCATTAAACATGCTTGGGTTGCTTCCAGTGAAGATCAAATCGTCCACGTAGAGGCACACGATCAAAATATCTTCATCTTTGATCTTGATATATAGAGCATGCTCGTAGGGACATTTGTTGAAGCCATTCTCTTGGAAGTACTTGTCGATTCGGCTATTCCATGCCCTTGGTGCTTGTTTTAGCCCGTAAAGAGCCTTCTTCAACTTCAACACCTTGTCTTCATGCCCTTTGACTTCATAGCCTGATGGTTGCTGAATGTAAAGTTCCTCTTCAAGAACTCCATTTAGGAAGGCGGACTTTACATCCATCTGTTGTATCTTCCACTTGTTTTGAGCTGCCAAAGAAATGATTAGTCTGATAGTCTCCAATCGAGCAACAGGAGCAAATACCTCATCATAGTCAATTCCAGCCTTTTGACTATAGCCTTTAGCAACTAGCCTCGCCTTGTGCCTTTCAATCTCTCCTTTGGCGTTTTGCTTTGTTTTGTACACCCATTTGACACCTATCGCCTTATGTCCCTTGGGAAGTGAGGTAAGTTCCCATGTGTCATTCTTCTCGATGGCCTTGATTTCTTCGTCCATCGCATCTCTCCATTTCTTTTCTTGTACCGCTTCTTGAAAGCTCACTGGTTCACAATCGGCAAACAGACAAAATAATGTAAGATTATCTTGTCGTTCAGTTACCTCATAGAGATCTCTAAGGCTTCTTGTGCGTTGCACAACTCTTTCACTTTGACTCCCACTTGACGATGATGAAGGTGACGAGTCTCCTTGAGTGGTTGATGTTGGTGAAGTGGGTGGAGTTGCAAGCTCTTGTTGAGATTCATCTAGTTGCTCCCTCATTGTCTGCTCATCTTCTTCAAACTGAGGAAAGAAATTGAAGTCATCTGTATGAGAGTTAAAATCCCATTCTCCTTCTTCGTTGAAGACCACATCTCGACTAATCACAAACTTCTTATTGTCTGGATTGTACAACTTGTAGCCCTTCGAATTAGCATCATAGCCGATGAAGATAAAACTCTCGCTTTTATCATCAAGCTTCGTTCTTCTCTCGTCTGGTACGTGAACATGGGCTATACTTCCAAAGGTTCTCAAGTGGGAAATGCCAGGCTTTCTTCCACTCCATGCCTCTTGCGGTGTCTTTCCCCATACACTTCTTGTTGGAGATCGATTTGACAAGTAGACTGCACACGATACTGCTTCCGCCCAAAATTCTTTGGGTAGTTTCTTGCTTTTGAGCATGCTTCGTGCCATGTCGAGGATTGTTCTATTCTTTCTTTCTGCCACACCATTTTGCTGGGGGGATCTAGGAACTGTCATTGGTCGACGAATTCCATTTGCTTCACAGAACTCTTGAAACTCCCTGGAAGTAAATTCTCCACCTCGATCGGATCTCATGGCTTTGATATTTCTACCGCTTTCTTTCTCCACTGCTGCTTTGAACTTCTTGAAGACTTCAAAAACTTCTGACTTCTGTTTCAAGAAATATACCCAGGTTTTTCTTGAAAAATCATCAATGAAGAGAAGAAAATAGTTATTGTTACCGAGAGAGCTTGGCTTGATCGGTCCACACACATCGGTATGGATGAGCTCAAGTGGCTTCTTAGCTCTTGTCTCTGACTCCTTTGGAAAGCTTTTCCTGAATTGTTTCCCGACTAGACACCCTTCACAGAGTTGGTCAGGATGGTTGATGTGAGGTAGTCCTTTCACCATCTCCTTCTTAGATAATAGCTCTAGACCTCCAAAATTGAGATGCCCAAATCGAAGATGCCAAAGCCATGATGCATCTTTGTAGCAAGCTTTCAGGCACTTTGCAACATCATTTTGTATGTTGATCAAGAACATTCTATTCTTTGACATCGGCACTTTAGCAATGAAGTTATTCTTATCATCTTTTATAGAAAGATTATAATTATTCATATGAATATCATAACCTTTCTCTACCAGTTGCCCTAAACTTAAAATGTTACTTTTCATATTGGGCACATAGTAGACATTTGAAATAAATTGATGTCTCCCATCTTTCAAACGGATAAGAATGTTACCTCTCCCTTTCACTGCTATTGTGGAATCATCTCCAAACGAAACATTTCCACTTACTGACTCGTCTAGCTCCACAAACATGTCTTTCCTTCCACACATGTGATTGCTTGCACCACTGTCAAGATACCAGGAATTTGCTTGGACACCATCAGTTTCCTTCGTGCTAGAAGAAGAGTTTCTTTGCCATCTGTCTTTTCCTCCACGTAATTGGCCTTCTCCTCAATTTTGTTGTTGGGAGCTCTACATTCTGAAGCATAATGCCCAAATTTTTGACAATTATAACATCGAATTTGAGATTTGTCATACTTTGAGTTTGGATTAATTCTTCCACGGCCTCGTGTTGAGCTTTCTCCTTTCTCATAGTTGTTGTTGGAATTGTTATTGTTGTAATTCCAGCCTCGTCCACGACCTCGACTTCCACCTCGTCCATGGCCTCTACCTCTGCCTTGGCCACGTTGGTTTCTATCATTGCGTTGGCTCTCATGCATATCCTTGAGTTGCAGCTTGAGGAGTTGCTCAGTAAACTCATGCTTCTTTTTATGCTTCTCTTCGTATGCTTGCAATGATCCTTGGAGCTGTTCGATCTTCATTTCTTCCAAGTCTTTAGTTTCTTCAATCGTCACGACGATGTGCTCAAATTTGGGATCCAACGAACGGAGTATCTTCTCTATTATCCTCACATCGTCTAACTTTTCACCATTTCTTTTTAATTGATTAGAAACAGCTACTACTCTTGAGAAATAATCTGAAATAGACTCAGATGCTTTCATGTTTAAGGATTCGAATTCACCTCTTAATGTTTGGAGACGAACCTTCTTCACTTGCTCGGATCCTTTGTAAGAGGTTTGCAGCTTCTCCCACGCTTCCTTGCTAGAGCTTGCACTTGAAATCTTTTCAAAACCATCATCATCTAATGCTTGATAGATGAGGTAGAGAGCCTTCTTGTCTCTCTTTCTTGAATCCTTCAAAGTTGTCTTTTGATCTGGTGTAAGAGTAGCAAAAATATCATCATCCGCAGGCTCATTATAGCCTTTCTCTATGATATCCCACACATCTTGTGATCCAAGAAGTGCCTTCATTTTGATACTCCAATTGTCGTAGTTGTTGTTGTTGAGTGTCGGAACTTGGAATGGTGCCATACCATTTGCCATATCTCTCAATATAATGAGATTTTGTAAAATCCGATTGCACGGATGAATCCGAAACGATGAAAAAAAAAAAAACTTTGGAGGGACTTGGACAACTCGGTCAAGGGCTCCAACTCGGCTGAATCGGCTCAACTCGGTGAGTCAACTCGATTTTCTGGCAGCAGTCTTCCGGCGGTGCGTGGCGGTGCGTCAGAACTCAGATTGAGAAAATTCTGGCGGCGTCGTATTCCTCTCGTCGAGACCTTCGATCTTTCCAACTCGCTCTGATGCCACTTTGTTGGAAATAAAACACTCACACAAACAACTTTTATTGAAACTCAAACAAATATTACAAGAGTACTCTCACTCAAAAACAAGAACTACAACTCACTCTTATAAGACTTTGCTTCTTCACTCACTTAGAAGCTCTTAATTTTTCTTGATGCTTAAAACTAAAATGGGAAGGGGTATTTATACTACTCAAGAACAATCCTACACCACACAAATAAACTAATTTAAACCATTACAAATTCAACAAATATCTAACTCTCACCTAACTAAATTGATGTAAGCAATGACATCATTAATTAAATGATGTAAGCAATGACATCTTTAATTAAATGATGTAAGTAATGACATCAATTTAGTTTGGGTTTGGGTTTAGGCTCCCATAATGGATCAAGTTTATGATCCAACAGGGGGTGTTGGCGAGGAGCAAGAAGAGGGGTGAGAAAACCCATGTTTTCGTGCATGAAATCGAGAGGAACGTTGAAAGCCTCTTTAGTGACGAGTTTTTGTGCGACGAAAATTTGGTGGAAACCGTAGATTCTCTGGGACATTTTATCGTCGGAAAAGAACACAATAACGGTAAGAAATCTGAGTTCTGTAAGAATTTGACATCATCATCGCCTTTGTCCGTTTCTTTATCAGCCGGTGAAGATGATGATTGATACAATTTTCAAGGTCGATTAATCTCTGCAAATTTTATCGTTTGCATTTTCTTTCTTTCTTAGGTACAGAATTGTAATAGTTATAAAAGCTTTATCCTTTCTAAGTGTATTCAGAAATATTATTACAAAATATGAATGTTCATAACTGTTTATGAGGAAACAGTGGAGTGTAAAAAGTAGAAGTGGAAATTTTAATTTTTGGATAAACTATATCAAGGCCACTAAATTATACTTTAACTATTGTTTTAGCTATCAAATTTTTAAAAAAAGTATAAAATAGTTCATTAAATTTATGAAATTCTTATAAGATGATCATTATAATATTATAATAATTATAAATTTTAGAAAATTTAATAATTATTTGAATATAATTCAATTTAATTGGCCTTTATGTCTTAAATTTATTTTGATATGGTTTTTAGTTTAGACTTGGTGTTTTGACTGTGGAAAGTCTTTACATAGATTCTCGTAAAACATGATAAACATTTTTATAATAAAATTAAGAAATTTTTAAAAATAAAATAATCAAACATTTGTTATTATTTTAATTTTGTTTATAATTTTCTTTACCTTTAATACATTTGATAATAATGTTTTTAGTTTATTCATGAAAATAAATAATATGAATTTAGATGTGAACAAATATGTACAAATTTAGCTATTAAAAATTTAAGTAGTATTTAAATTTGAATAATATAATCAACACTCATAATAAAATTATAATCAATATTAATATTAAACATTATATATGTATTATTTAAATTCGTAGATAATGAATTAAAATATAAATATCTATAATCTAATTATGCTTTATGAGTTTTTAAGATAATTAAATAAATTATTTAAGGATTTTTATTAGATTTAGTTAATTAAATAAAGTTAATTAATTTAAATTAAATTAATAAAAGTAATTAAATTTAATAAATAAAATTAGATTCTAATACATATTCGAAAATAAAAATTTTAAAAATATATATTAAAAGATGGAGAATTGAGGTCAAGTACTCGTAGGCAATATGTCGGTGGTGGGAGGATTACATTCTAAGGAAAGAAGGTGAGAAACCGGATGGTAAGATTAGCAAAACCCGGTAGGTACAACACTTAGGGTACGTTTTTGTTAAGGATGGCAACGGGCCGGGTTCGGGCCAGATATTGGTCTCCGTCCCCGTTTAAAATATTCGTACCTGTATCGCTTAAAAAATTATGGAGATTTAAACGGGGATTCCTATCGGGTAATCGGGAAAATTTGCGAGGAAACAGGTATCCCCGTTTAACATAAACGGTTATTTAAACGGGTATCGGATCGGGTATCGGGCCGGATATATATATTTAAATTAAATATATAAATATTATATATATTTTTTAATTCAAATTAAATTTATTAATATTATATATATATATATAATAATTATTATTTATTTTTAATATTTATCGGACCGGTTAATCGGGACAGAGATTACTAAACTCGTCCTCGTCCCCGTTTAACATAAACGGTTTTTTCATGTCCCTATTCCCGTCCCCATTTAGCATAAACGATTTTTCCCCGTCCCCGTTTAATTCTGTTTTCGATTTTTCCCGTCGGGTTCGGGTTTTTTTGTCATCTCTACGTTTGGTTCACGGAATGTAAGATTACCAGTGGGAATAAAAGATTACCAGGGAATAAGATTACTGGGAATATTGTATTTTGTGTTTGGTTGGTTTAGCAGGAATGTAAGATTAATCTGTTTGGTTAAAGGAATAAAAGATTAATAGAATGTATATTTAACTAAATTGTTCTTATTATATATTTGTTTTTTAACAAGTTGAAAATATTTATATATTTTCTTTAAAAAATATAAATTCATAAAATTTATATAATTTTTGTTACAAAATTAAAAATATAAAAATGTTTAATGAAATGATAAAATTTTATTTTAATTCATGAACTTTATATAAAATTTTAATTATAGATTTTTTTGTAAATCTAAAATAATTTAGGGATAAATTTATAATTTAACCTTTGTAGAATTTTTATTATTCAATAACAGAATAAATATATTTTTGAAATGAAATTTTTTTTAAGGGCATTTTAGTTTAAAACGACGGTAATCCAACAATATATAAAGAAAAGAAAGTAATGATATTTCCGATAATATACCCCTAAAAAATCTACTATTGACAATGTAAGATTACCGGGAATGACATTCCCGACCAACCAAATTGAAGAATATAAATTTCATTCTCATGAGAATCTCATATTCCCCCAACCAAACACACCTTTAAGATTTTTCCGAATGTGGGAAGAGGATGAGCGATACGCGCCGGGAAGCCGTATGCTCGTCAACGCTTAAAATAATTGGCTTAGAGGCGCTCGCGGATAAGAATCTTACGGGGATACTGACTAGTATGGCCTTTTGTATCTTTTTTACCAGGGAGGTCACGTGACTCACGTGCGTCGCGGCAGAAGATTGAAAGCAAAAGCTGGAGTGTCGGTTGCGGCAAAAAAAACATAGTTATTACGCATTTACGTCGTTTCTGTGTGGTTTCGAAATATTCAAGCCTCGCTCCAAAGCTGCAGATTTATCATTTTTGACGGTTCAAAATTTTTTAATTCGATTTCTTCAATTTTGTTTTTTAAATATAAAATATCTTTTAAATAAATTTTATTTTTTTATGAATATTTTTTAAGACTGTTTCATTCCCAATATCGAACATGATTAATGTAATTATAATATTTAAAGTCATACTCAAAACATTTTTTTTATAAAATATATCTATAAATAATCTTATAGTATGTCAACAAAATAATAAAAATTTACATTTTATCTTTAGATGAAATGAACAAGAAAATGTTTGATGTTAGATAATGTTTAGTAAATTGGTGTGTACAATTTCTAGAAATATTAAATTTAAATAATTATAATTATATAATACGTGTATTATAAATATATTAATAAAATATTTATATAAATATAATTTTATAATCACTTTAAATTATTCAAAACAACTATAATATATTTAAGGTATTGTCACTCCATTTCGCATCATGTTCAAATAATTAAGTACAAAATCCTTAACTAAAACCAAGTCTCGCTGAACTCACTACAATTATATTAATAAACTATTAGTATTGGTAATCTACAGCATAAAATCTTAAACCCAACAACGATTATCATCACGAATCAATCTCCTGTTCATAAAATGAATAAGACAAAACAAATCCTAAGTGTGGTCCAAATCAACTTGTTTATTTAACGACCTACTCGTGTATGATTAGAATACAATAAACTTCAAATTCGACCCAAAAAACGTACAAATGATTGGAAGCCCTAACAACTTATCAACAACCAGAACTATTTATTTAATTATATATAATAATGAATTAATTGAAAACTAGAGTCTTATTGTGTTTGTTTATTACGAAAATGAAAGATTAATGGTAAGAGAACCGACATTACTAGAGAATATAGTTGTTAATTTCGTCTAATGTATAAAAATCACACACGTTCAACAACAATGGGATACAATGTTTTCAAAACCGGACCGGACATTGAATCGGTGAAGGTACTGATTCAATCGGGTTCAATCGGATTTTATATAAAATAATATTTTTTTAATTTTACATAATATTCAAAGCAATATTAATATATATGTAACATTTTTTTTAAGTTTACAATATTAAAAGGTATAAAAAAATATCACAAGTCATAACATGTATAAATGAAAAACCATAAAATCAAGTGAAACAAAATGATTCAAATCAACTACAATATAATATTTAAGGTAAAACATATTAAATATTAAATATAATTATATAACTATAATCAAAAAAATAAAATTGGGGCTTAAAAAATCATAACAAATGATGTCATTTGGTTTAATTGTTTTTAAAAAAACAATCTCACATGGCTAAGAAACATAGAAGAGTATCTCAAAAGTTTAAAGAGTAAAAATATGAGAACAAAACAATCCCACATGGCTAAGAAACATAGAAGAGCATACCAACTTACTTCTATAAATAATAGAGGTAATTTGACATTCAAAATCATGGAGCCTTTTGGTGAGCACAAAGTGAACTATTTTTTCGCTTCAATTGAGCTCAAATTTTAGGCTTCAATCGAATTTCTAAATTTTGTTTTGAGTTTGAGTTTTTTAGATTTCAAGTTTTAATATTATATTTCGAGTTGATAATTTTTAGCTCGTGAGTTTTTGAGTCGAGTTGAGCTTACTTTTAAAGTTTTCGAGTTCGAGTCGAGCTCATCAATACTCGAATTTGACTCGGCTCGTTGAACAAAGACGCCGTTTGGTTTAATTTTTTTTTTAAAGAAAAAAAGTGAACCGACGGTTTAAACCGGTTTTGCCGGTTTTCAGTCGGTTCATCCCAGTTTTTCCTGTTTTCAGTCGATTCTTTATCGGTTCTGTGCTAATCTGGTTTTAAGAGTTAACTGGACCGAACAGGCCACCGGTTCACGGTTCAACCGGTCGAAACGGCTGATCCGGTCCGGTTTTAATAACATTGATGGGATATTTATTTAACACGAACAGGCTGTTGATAGGACAGAGACACAAGTATATGTATAAACTATGCGTGGTTTGGCTCCTGGGAATTTATTGCCATGGGGTTACTATGTATTTCTCGTACTCCTCCCTTTGTCAAGTCCTGGTTTTTAATTGATGGTCGAGGTATGGTGCATCGGCCGGCCCCCTTTGCGGTTATATGAACAAACGAATGAATACCAATCATTTTTTCTCATATAATTTGAATATTCTTTTATATATTTTTATTAATACTTTATTTTCATCTTTAAAGTTGTATATTCATCCACTTAATATAAAATTTTACGTTCGTTTTCAAATCTGAAAATTTAGTATATTTAAAATTATCGAAGACAAGTTTAAAAATTAGGTTAATTTTTTTTATCATGGTAAACAATTCAAAAACAATTTATATTTTTTCCAATTAATTCAATTCGATTCATTAGTCCAATCCGATTCTACCAACCATACTCGAAAACACTCATGTCATGGTCTTTTTTAAGCCGATAATCCAATCACATTCGTAAAACCATTTTCACCGTTTATCTTTATTTTAAAATTTTGATTTGAACTTATCGAATAGTCTAAATAGTAACAAAGAATGTTGCTCTCACTCAATTCTACATAATATACGTATATCACATATGAATATAGAAATTTGTTTAAATTATAATCAAACAGTATCATAATATTATAAATATCTAGAAATTAAATTTAAACAAAAATTCAAATAACTTTGCTCAAACTGAAAGTTGTAAACTCGATTAAAAAATCAAAATAAAGTTAGAGTTATAAAATAGACTAGTCAACTCAAAATTTGTTGACTGACGAATATTCACATTTATTTATAATCACCTTATACTATTCATAGCAAAATCTCCATCTTCTCTTGGTTTCACTTAGACCCAAAAGGTCATAAGCCACGGATACAACACACCACAGTGAAAAAATACATCTTTAAGGAGTAGCTGAAATTAAACTATAAATTTTTAAGAGGTTAGAATCTTTAAGGGACTAAAAAATACATCTTTAAGCAGTTTGTCCTCTCGCCGTGGACTGGTTTTCTTCAATTATGGGTTATGTTTGCTTGGTTTCATGCTTCCCTCGTGTCGCGTTTTAGCCCTATGCACTCTAATGTGCTGTAGGTTGGTGCTTGAAGCTGCTTACTCGTGCTTGCTCGACTGTAGGTCTAGCGCTCTGGCTTTATGCAAAGTGTATTTTTCGGAGCTCTCTTGGTCTTGACATTGACTTGGTACACTCTTTTTCCTCCGCTTAGATTTAGAGAAGGTTTTAATGAGGCCCTTGCCTTTCTCTAGTTTTGTATTTGTGTACCCTTTAATACAATACAAAACACCATTTTCCAAAAAAAAAAATGGTCACATGATTTGTATAATTGAGAATCATGTATGCTATGTCATTTTAATATCTTGTTAGTTATTGCCATATTTCACTATTTATTTATATATAATTATAAATTAATTGAAAACTAGAGTTTAATTGTGTTTGTTTATTATGAAAGAGTATTATTTTGTTAAATGAAAATGATGGATTAAGAGTGAGAGAACACCTAATTGATTCCCTAAGCCCAACATTTTGGACATGTCTTAAGGTTTGACTAGACTCTGGAGTTGTTAATTTTGTCTACTATGTACAAATCACACATGTACAACATTGAAAGTCATTTATAGATAATTGTATTATATAATATGGATTACGGTTTAGTTTATATATTTTAAAAACAGTAAAAAAATTAGGGTAAAGTACACAAATGGTCCATTGACTATAGCGTAATGCTTCATTGAATCTCTCGACAATTAAAAGTAATAAAATTATCCTCGACTATAGGGTGTTACTTTGTTGGGTCCCTCAACTTTGAAAAGTTACAAAATGATCACCCGACTATTCATATAGTTCAAACTCATCCTTTTATGTTAAAAAAAATGGCAGTTATCTGAACTAGACATTAACTTGTTGACTGAGATATTATAAAATATGATCTCAGAACCGTTTAGGTTGTATAGTTATTTGAGATTTAGGATAAGATTTTATTATATACAGTCAGCAGGTTAACGTTCAACTCAAATTGTCATCGATTTTGTAATGGAAAAGAACGAGTTTGGAACATATGAATAGTTCATTTCGTAACTTTTAATAATTATGGGACTTGATAAAACAATATCATATAGTCAGAGGACTATTTTTTAACTTTTAATAGTAGGGTATTAAAAAATCAACACCTGTAATCCGGAACAATTTGTTAAAAGAAATGATTATTTTTATAACAGTAACAAGAAATAGTATAAATTTCTTTAGGTGGAATTGTTATTATTATTTTGAATAATATAAGCTAATTACATGGTAGTAATTATTTAGAATTTTTTTAATTTATAGACAACACACATGCATCATGCAGACACAACTACTCGAACTCATAACTTCTGAGATGAATAACATTTCCTTTTACCACTGAGACCAATTCATAGGTTCAGTTACAAACTTATTATTATTTTTTATAACTTATAAAAACATTTTTACTTATTTTTTCAAATTATAACGAATAAAATACAATTCACCATATAATACAAGGCATTAAACAAAATAGTCGTAAGTGTGCAAAAATGGAGGGATATAAGGTACAATGGGATATTTATTTAACACAAACAGGCTGTTGATAGGACAGAGACAGAGACAGAGTACACATATATTTATATGTGGTTTGGTTTATGGGGATTTATTGCCATGGGGTTACTATCCCTTTGTCAAGTCATGGTTTTAAATTGATGGTCGAGGGATGGAGTTGAATTAATCGAGTGATTTTAACGATAAAAATGATTGTTGTATTTAAAATTTTAAATTCGAGTAATTGTATCTATATAGTGTATACATATGGTTAATGATTAATTTTTTTTTAAACATATATTATCTTATAATCGATAATCAATCGATCGACAATCAATTATGTAAATTTGTAATCGATAATTAGAACTGATGGCCAATAATTATATTGTTAGAGGTAAAATATGCTCAGAGGACTCTTGACTAAGTTTGTCTTATAATCTTTTTGAATGTGATTTTACTATCGTGACTAAGTTATATTGTTAGAGGAAAATTATATTTTCGAAAATATAATAGAATATATTTAAATAGATCATATCTTTAAAATTAAAAATTATAAGAGGTCCTAAGCCACGGCTACAACACACCACCACTAAAAGAAATACTTATTTAAGGAGGAGCTGAAATTAAACTATACAGTTTTAAGAGTTTAAAGTATATTTTTGCAATTATATTAAGTTAATATTTTTTTGTTTTTAAGGGACTAAAAACTAATTAAACCGCTTTTTGGGGGGAACGAATACCACTGCCTTTCCCTTTTTCTATACGCACATGGTTGTAGCCTTTTTAAAAGAAATGGTAAACTACATCAGGGGTCACCTAACTATAAAACATTGTAAACTGATCACTTAACTAATCAATTTTGTCTTTTTGGGTCACCTTACTAGAATTAGGACTAATGTGATGTGATGTATAAAGATTAAGAGCTAAATTTATTGTTATAATATTAGTTTTAGTAACTGACGCATCATCTTTTCGTAAGAAGTCATGGCCAATGACAAAGAAATTGATTAGTTGAATGACTAATATATACCATTTTTTAGTTGGATTACCAAAAGCGAAAGTTATCCATAGTTGAGTGACCTTTCACACAGTTTGCCCTAAATTTAGTTAAATAAATTAATTAGCAAGAAAATAATTGTAATATTAAGTTGATCAGTGTTGACCCTTCAACAAAAGGCAAACATGATATAATTCATTTTCTCTTTCTTTTATCCCTTATTAATACATTTTTAGTTAATTATTCATTTTAAGTAAATTGGGATTATTACATGAAAGTATTTATTTAGAAAATTTCTTAATTTTTGACAATGTATGTATTTTTTTAATCTCAATTGTATTAAATCATAATATATATTTGTTGATATATATAATTGTTTTATACATAAAATAAATAATTAAACATTTTATTATACTCAAAATGTAACATACATAAACTATAGATGTAAACGTGAAATATCATGGTTGAATAATTAATTTTTTTGAATAGTCTAAGGTGATTATAAGATAATATTTGTTGAAAAATTATGACATCAATCGTATATAATTTATAAATATATGTAAAAAATACTTTAATTTTTCAAGAATGCTAGTAAATCTATCCCGTAGATATAGAAATAGAGAGAAGAGGGAATATAAAAAAGTATATTGAAGGGTTGAATCATAAAATATATAAAATCTTATGTATTAATTAGTAGTGTATTTGAAGGGTTGAATCATAAAATATATAAAAAAATATATATTGAAGGGTTGTTACTTGTTAGGGTGAATATTTGATGTATTAGTAGTGTATAATCTTATACTTTATTAATTAATCATATAGTGACATGTTATTAAAATAAATTTTAATTATTTTATTTTAAATTTTGATGATAATTTATTGATATACCAAATATTGATCCATGATGTTTTGGATTGTTTGATTCCAAAAGGATGATATTAATATTTACTAATTACTACAACATAAAAAGTGGATAATACGCAAACAAACAACTTTGATAGTGCTTTTTGATATCCAAAACCATAGCAATCATTCATGAATTTTATTGGTCGGGACTAAGAATAACATGATTAACTAAATCCATCTAATAATTTTTCAACTTTTTCGAAACTACAAACGGTTACATCCACATTTGGCATTAACTTATTAAAAACCTTGTAGTAAAACACAATGCCGATACTATAAAATCGAACTTTAGAGCTAACGAATTCTAAACGTAAATGATTAAAAAAAAAACCTTAAAACTTGTGTCTTGAAAGAGTTTTGTAAGTAACGGGAGCTTTCTTGGTATTGGACCCTTCCAAATGATGGTTCCTTGGAGCATTATCCCTGCAAGGGATGATTTTATACGACTCAGGGTCCGGACACAACCTAATGTACTTCACGTAGAACTCAACACATTCTTGTGGTGATTTTTGGTCGGGAAGACCGGGGATACAGTTCTGTCTCACGTCAAGAACACCATTTTTTATCAGCTTTCTGCAAACCGGACCTACTTGGGTGAAAAAATTGTCCGACAACGACAAGTTCACCAAGTTTGGAAGCGCACACAGTTCCTCAGGCACTTCCCAGTAGAGCAGATTATTAGCAAAGTTGAGCAGCTCGATTTTCTCCAAGCACGACAAGGAGATCGGCAATGGACCGGTTAACAGATTTATTTCGACGTCGAAGACTCTAAGTTCTTTCAAAAACCCTAGTTCGTAAGGGAGACAACCTGATAACTTGTTGTTCAGCAGTAAAACCTCGACTAATGTCGAGTTGAGGTTGCGTATGCTTTGCGGGATCGGACCGGTTAAACGGTTGTTCGCCAAGGTGAGGTAGAGAACTGGCGTCGAACCGAAGTTCTCCGGTAGTTTGGCGGTGAAATCGTTGTCGTTGATGAAGAGGACTTCGAGTGCTTGGTTGAAAATCTCAGGCGGAACTTCCCCGGCGAAGGAGTTAAAACGGATGTCCAAGACCGATAAGTCTTTTATTCCGATGACCGTCGTCGGGAATGTTCCGGTGAAGCCGTTGTTGCTTATGTCCAACTCGTAGAAATATCTGAGCTTGGAGACGTCCGGTACGGAACCGAAGAACCTGTTTGAGTTTGCATGGAAGATAGCGAGGTCGGGGAGGTTGTCGACGAAACCTTCCAGTGTCGGAGCAGCTAACAGAAACCCGTTGAAGTCAATGCCGGCGACAGCAACGGCTGATTCATTGTCTGGTGGGTTATCACAGTAAAAGCCCGTGTAGCTGCATATATCCGACCCGACCCAATTCCCCGTCCTGTTAAGTGGATCTTCGGTGATCGTTCTCTTGAATGCCTGGATTACAGGGTAAACAACAGCAAGCCTCCGGTCTTTGAACATCAACCGTTGCGTCGAGACACCCAATGGCAGTGCCGGTGAGCCTATCGGGCCGATATCGGTACCATCGTGGGATATTACGGGGAGGAGAAATGGAAGGAAAAGGAAGCAAATGGAAGTGTAAGCGAAACCTTTGTTGAAGAAGGTTAAAATCTCCATGGATTAAAGTGAAGGGAAAGATTAAAGGAAAAAGTGTTGGAGTTGATGTTATACAATGGTGTAAGTGTGGTTGTTGAGTAGCATTTTTGAAACGGAAATGTTTTTATATGGTTTCTGCAAGTGGTAGTGCTATTTGGTAGGTGGAGATCCGGTTTGTTTCTCGTGATTTTCCAGATTTTTTTCATCTCTTTAAGCCTAGGGTTTTAGGTTGTTATATGTTAGTACAATCCAATCTGCTCCATTCGTAATGTCAGGATTAAAACCCTTACTTTTTAATTAAAAAATCTATGTTATTGGTAAAGTATTAATATAATTTTAAACATGTAATTATGGTTTATTTTTTCCAAACCATATCTAAGAAACATTTTTTTAAAGCTATAAATGAAAGAACCAAATTTCATAGAGGGATCGGAATCCATAGAAGTTGCAATGACGAAAGGAGAGGCCCATAAATCCCAAACAAGTCCAACCCATATAAGTAAAAGAAAAATTCAAATCGTAACATATTAAAATTTGAATCGATCTAAATTTTAGGTACAGACTAATACAATCGGTACCGATATGATGTCGACAACCATATATATATATATAATTCAAATACATATAGGACAAAGAGAGACCTTTCCACGAACGCCTCTCCTTTGTATCTCTAAATATAGGGTAGGGTCGCCCTTGTCCTCTCATAATCAAACCGTGACAGATACAAACACCATATTTTCAGTTCTTAATCCTATTTCAACGCACTTTCTTCCTATTTGTTATCTTCTGCTTTATCCTATATATCCCCATCTCTCCTCCAACTCCCTTCCATCCCCCAAAACGACCATCATGTCTCTCCTCAACCATTCTTCCCATGTTTTCATTATCCTTTCTATCTCGTTGTTCGGTTTTTTAACAACACTGTCATCGGCTCTGGACATGTCCATCATCAACTATGATCTTGACCATGTTCGGGGACACCAGACGACGACCGAGGTCAAGATGTTGAGGATTTACGAGATGTGGTTAGTGAAACATGGCAAGAATTACAATGCCTTGGGGGAGAAGGAAAAACGGTTCGAGATCTTTAAGGATAATCTCAACTTTGTCATTGAACATAACTCGGTTAAACGCACCTACAAGGTTGGTCTCAACAAGTTTGCGGATTTGACCAATGAGGAATACAAAGCTATGTATTTGGGCACAAGGGTGGACCTGAAAACCCGATCGTATAGACATGCAGGTAAGGTGAAGAGCAACAAGTATGCGTTTCGGGTTGGCGATGATTTACCTGAGTCCGTTGATTGGAGGGAGAAAGGTGCCGTCGGGGCCGTCAAGGATCAAGGCCAATGTGGTAAAGTTTTTTTTCCCCTTTTCTTGTATCACACGTTTTTACTATGAACAAAGACATTAATTTGATTTGTGTGTAGGGAGTTGCTGGGCATTTTCAACTGTGGCTGCAGTAGAAGGGATAAACAAGATTGTAACCAATGATCTCGTCTCATTGTCGGAGCAGGAGCTGGTGGACTGTGATAATTTGTATAACCAGGGATGCAATGGGGGTCTCATGGACCAAGCCTTTGAGTTTATTATTAACAATGGTGGTATCAACACCGAAGAGGAATACCCTTACCGTGCTTCAGATAACATATGTGATGAAAATAGGGTTAGTAAGAATTTTGATCATTTTAGTATGAGAAAATTTTATGATGATGGTGTTAATTACTGTAATCTACATTCTTCTTGTAGAAAAATGCCCGTGTTGTTTCCATCGACGGATACGAAGATGTCCCCGAAAACAATGAGAATTCTTTGAAGAAGGCTGTTGCAAATCAACCTGTTAGTGTTGCCATTGAAGCTGGTGGCAGGGCCTTTCAACTTTACCAATCGGTAAATACTAAACAGTTGAATCTTCTAGCACTAATTTTCTAGTTTTTGAAGACTTCATTCGAATTTTGCTACCAGTGAATTGGATCAAATGCACCATGAAGTGCATTTAGACCTATTCTGTTGTGTTATGAAATCTGAATAAGCCTAATTTATCAAGTGTAGATAATCTTATGTCATCGCCCTTGAATAAGAGTTTGTACATATAACATTGTGTTTGGTACGCAGGGTGTATTTACCGGTCAGTGTGGAACAAATCTCGACCACGGTGTTGTTGCTGTCGGATATGGCACTAAAGGTGGTGTAGATTATTGGATAGTGAGGAATTCATGGGGTCCTAACTGGGGGGAGAACGGATACATCAAGATGGAGCGTAACATTGCAGGCGCCTCCACCGGAAAGTGTGGTATTGCAATGATGGCATCATACCCCATCAAAAACGGACCAAACCCGCCTAAACCTTCCCCATCTCCCCCTGCTCCTGTTAGACCTGCAACCGTTTGTGATGCGTATTACACATGTCGTCAAGGAACCACTTGCTGCTGCTTATTTGAGTACGCTAATTACTGCTTTGGCTGGGGATGCTGCCCGATGGAGTCCGCGACATGCTGCGATGATCACTACAGCTGCTGCCCGATAGAGTATCCCGTATGTGACCTCCCAGCCGGAACTTGTCGTCTGGTAATTACAACTCACATTGAATTTCATTACTTCCATTACCATGTTCAATTCGTATATGTGAATTTATAACGTTGCTTTATGATGCAGAGCAAGGACAGTCCATTGGGAGTAAAGCTATTGAAGCGAATTCCGGCTACGAGTACTGGGCAACGAACCAGGACAATTATTGTCGCCAGTGGTTGAGAAAGCAATGAATTACCTCCCTCCCTGGGTCATGGAGGAGAAGCTAAGAAAGTGTGCAATGGATGAAAATATTTTTTTTACTGATTAATGACCCAAATGTACTTTTATTTATACTAAGCATGTACAATGCCTTCAAATATATGTTCTTTGATGTACATTTCATATAATCTTTAATAATTTCCCTTCATCATTTTTTCTTTTGCAGCCATTTTTCTATATTTATTTGTTAAAAAATTAAAGGAAAATAAAATTGACAAATTATGGTATTTGTTAAAATGAATGGTTTAATTATAAATGGTCCCTAAGTATATTCATCTGAACTTATTCTTATGATACAAATTTTGAGAAAGTTTGTTTTATTATTAGTGAGAAAGTTATAAGTAACTCAATTCTGAGAAAGTATTTTTATTATTATTAATGAGAAAGTTAAATATAATATAGGGACTAAATCATAGTTTTACCTTTATACCAATATTTATGTATTTCACTATTACTTTTATTAATGGTAGTGTTAATTGCATCAGACCCAACATATTATAGTTCATAAATATTTAGGTGGTCTAATAGGATGAAGATGAAGTACTAGATCCCTTACATAAGATTAGCAGTTCAAATCATGATGTTTACGTTAATTATTCGATTAATTATTTGGATACCGATAGTTTTTTAAGAAAATCATATATAGTTCGGATTTTATACTGATATTAAACCTTAGAATATTATAATGAAATTCTTAAATTATCAATATTATTTCAGTACTTATATGAGTATATTTATCGACTTAAGCATTAAATACTAACTCAACATAATTAGATGTGTAGGATAAAATTAACTGTTGATAGCCGAACTAACTTGCTCTCTCTGCAAACTTTTCCTCCACCACCCCTTTGAGTGCCGAGCAGAAGGGAGAGGGACTTTCGGTGCAAAATGAGAGGAAATTCAAACCAATCACGGTAAACAATTTTGGGTGGTTTGAAAGATTCAGCACCAAGATGTTAGAAACATTTGCTTTTGAATTCAATCAAATTCTCTCTCCCACCATTAACGCCTTTATATTGTTTTGACGTTGAATTCATATGGGAACCCACTAAGCACACCGTGGGAGCCATCGAGTTCAACCATTTCCACTGTCCGTAGCAAAACCTTCAAGATGTCAAAGCCAATGGCACCAAGGATGGACAGAATGATATTGCGATGCGATGCTACTTTTAAAAAATTTGAATTCTATATAATTTTAAATTTTATATTTAAAATATTTGGTAGATCCTATTTAGGTCTAACATTAAGAAGATGTAAATACGTGTGATGACTGATGATAATAGGCATCATTAATACAACCAACGTTGCAAGCAAAGAAGCAAAAGTATACATAAGAAAAAGAGAGAAATAATAGTAATAATAAGGTTAGATTTGTTTCCGTACAGATCAAAATGTTCTTTTATTCTTTAAGAGGCTGTTTGGTTCGAGGAATGTGGGATTCCAATGGGAATGAAATCCACATTCCCATGTTTGGAAACATGGTTAAAAAACATAAACATTTAATTTATTATTTTCAAAATTTTCAAATATATAATATTATCATTTTTCTTTCCATTTTAATATCAATGTCACCTGGTTATTAGAAATCTGATATTTTTAATAGGTTAAACTACACGTACAATAATTAAATTATTACTTTTGTTTCATTTTGATATCTAAATTTTATTTTTTTTAAAAACTGTATCTAACTGCCAACATTTACTTTATGTTTTATTTTTTTATACATATCATTAAAAACATAACGGTGATATGAATGATAAAGAAGCAGTATATTGGTAGGAAGAGTAGTTTTCATGGAGGCTTCAACTTTGAGCTTGGTGTGTGTGCCACCCCAGTACTCTAACCTTTCCTTCTGCCCCCCGCCAACCACATTCCATTCCCCCATGCCACAACCCATTGATTTTTCCCAAAACCCCAAAACATTTTTTTGTATGTGTAATTTTTATATAAAAAATTATTTTTGATGAGAAAATTGGGTTACGATGGATTTGGTTATTTATTTTTCCCGTAACTTTTCATTAATACAGGATTTGGTTACAGATGTGCTAAACCTAAAGACAAGGATGAGTGGTCGTAGAAAGAGAGAGAGAAAGTTCAAGAGAGAATATTCTAAATTTTTAGTCTTATATAATGATTTATATACTGGACCTTAATACTAACATCGGATCTAAAATGTTGATAGTTATTTACAGTTAACATACTAAATAAGTTTGATTATCAAATAGTAAATCTACGTCAAAATATTGCAACATTTCAAAAGTTACGGTCATATCAAAGAAATTCTAAAAATCTTAAATGTCTCTGAAAATTTGGAGAGATAACAATAAAAATATAATTTTTAAAAGAAATTCAAAGAATATATATATAATAAACCCTATTTCATATCAAAGGATACCAGCAATCTCATTAAAGGCTGAACAGAATATTATTAAATTGCTTGAAATTAAGATTAAATTAATATGATGTATGAATATTAAGATATAATTGTTGTTATACCAGTTAAAAATAGTCGTTCTTTTTATTTTGACTTATGAGTGACCAAGTTGGTAATAACCTAGTAGTTGGTGATACTAACGTGACCATATTAGAAACAAATTTTCATACGAAAAAAACATATTATATATATGAAAAGTCATGAGACTTGACGGTTCACAATTTCAGAAGCATACAAAATATTATTTATTGAGTGGAACAAAGGTAGAAGAGTGAAACCCACTGATAAAAAAATCAGTCTCCCTCTCTTCTTCTTCCGACCGCTCTTTTCCTTTCCCTCCTCTCCCCTTTTGTCCTTTTTTTTTTCTAATAATCTCCATCTATAAGCTATTAGAGCCACTCTACGCATTACTCTTTTTTATTTTGAGTTGGAAGACTTACCCTAAACTTCAAAAAGCCAGCTTCTTGGATACATATATTGCTTTTCTTTTATGGATGCTTTATTGTTTTGTATGATGAACTAAGTCTGGGAACTCAGAAGAAAAAAAAGAACCCTTCTTCGTAAAGAAGATGGCAATTCTACACCGTGAACATCAACAAGAGAATTACCCTTCTTTCTTGCTTGATGCTCTCTACTGCGAAGAAGATGGCGTGGCTCAAGTTTCAGAGGAAGAAGAAGAGAGTTCTTCTTCCGACAATGGCGGGTCCCATTCCTTTTTCCCACTCTTGTTGGAGCAAGACTTGTTTTGGGAAGACGACGAGCTACTTTCTTTTTTTTCCAAGGAAGATGATGAGTTTCTGACGGTGACCCGCCGTGAGATCCACCGTGAGGCGGTGGAGTGGATGCTTAAAGTCAATGCTCTCCACGGGTTCACTGCTCTCACGGCTGTACTTTCCGTTAACTATCTGGATAGGTTCCTTAGTAGATTCGGTTTACAAAACGATAGGCCCTGGTTGATCCAACTCGTGGCGGTAACTTGTCTCTCTTTGGCTGCAAAAGGTGAAGAGACCCATGTGCCCCTTCTTCTAGACCTACAAGTACGTTTCCCATCCATACATACATAGCTACATGCTTAAACATATACATGTATTGAACATGTGTTTTTGTTTTGTTTCTTTTAAGGTGGAGGAGACAAGATATGTTTTTGAGGCCAAAACGATTCAAAGAATGGAGCTTTTGGTACTGTCAACACTTCAATGGAAGATGCATCCGATCACCCCGCTTTCATTCCTCGATCACATCACGAGAAGACTCGGCTTAAAGGCTCATCTCCATTGGGAGTTTCTCAAGAGATGTGAGCGTCTGCTCCTTTCTGTAATTTCGGGTAATTATTCCTTCCATTATTATTCAC